TGTCACAGACCAGCAGATTTCTACTGATGGAAAGGGAGAGAATGTTCACCCCCTCCAGTTTACACTATGCACAGCAAGCACTTTGGGGTTTTGAGGTTCCTTTGGCCTTAGACAAGTTTGTTAGGGTTCTTGCCCATATCTGCAGAAATATGGCTTTACTTAACAGAAAAAAATTATTGCAATGATGTCATTGTATAGCCTAAAAATTAATGGGAAGGCTGGAATACCAAGCTCTGAACACAGGCAGAGACCATAAGAAACTGGTGCTTAGAGGAGCTGGTTTGGATGCCAGTGAAACTGACTTGGGAAATTAAACAAACTGCTGATGCCTTTGCTACTCATACCCCTGGACTCCTTCAGGCAGAAAGTCTACAGTGCAATTTTTGATTTGAATATTTTGTTCTGCATTTTCCATGTCTAAACATTCTATTTGCTATGCCCAGGACACACATAGACTGAAAACCTGAACTGTTGCAATACTGTAGGAAATCAGAGCAGCCTCTACCTTACCTCAGAATAAATTTTATACTAATAATAGCCATAGAACCATGAACAGAAAAGGTACATGAGTCAGCATCATTCTCCCATCTATGGCAGGATGTGTAACATAGGTAAGGATGTTACCATCTATGGTTTCATTTGATCAAGTATGTAATAAATGTTTTTGAGAATTTAGCAATCCAGGGTATCAAAGACCTGATACTGCAAATAGTGTTAACATTAAGCATCCTCCTATCAGGAGGAAATGTTACTAAATTATAGAATTCAAGAAGCATATAAAGTTATGTCACAACTGACGTGTTGGTCTTCAGGTCAATATCCTTATAGTGATAGCCAGTTGTACTTGGTGGAATTCGCTGAAGGAATTCAGTGAGAAAGTCTGTGCAGAGAGCTCTTGGATCTCAGTTGATATGTTTTAATTTTGGAAGTGGAATATGGAAATGTTTGTGTCAATAATAAGTAAATGTTTAGTAGCAAAGACATTCCTGTGTATCAGATATAAGTGGCATGTGAAAAGCCCCAATGTACTGTTCATGAAAATGAAGGACATTGTTGTTACATCTTTTACTATTCAGAAGATTGGAGAGTTACATTTTTAAAGTTTACTTTTGGTCTCTGTTACTACTGAGAGAATCTTATGTACATAGATGGAACTGAACCCTGTATCAAGTTTTATATCTCATCCAAATAACTGAGATATTTCATGTCTTAATGACCTACACCACACTAAGAGAGAAAACAGAAATCTCACATGACCCTTCTTCCCCCAAATGAATGAAAAAAAAACATTTTTTTTTTCTGGTTGAAATGATGAAGTCACATCATGAAACTTTTCATTTATCAACATTTCCAAAGTCCACTCATCACAACATAGAAGTCAATTCTGAAAGGGCTTTGTTTTACCTTCCCAAAAATTTAAGTGGAACTAAAGAATCCATTTATGTAGACTACTTTCCTTCTCTTTCCTTCTTCTTTCCTAGGTGTGTTACTTTCTTTTACAAATAGTTCCTGTATAGTAAGAATTTAAAAGGCCATCTCCCATCCTACTAAACAAACGTTTGTCCCATGTGCTGAGTGAGGCTATTTGGAATTACCTTTAAAAGAAAGGAGGGAGGAGGTGTTTTGTGTATTTGCATATTTAAATCTTATAGGTCTATCGTATCATATGGTGATTAGTGTCGATATGTTTTTGTTTTACAATTGCATGAATGGCACAAAAAAACTAGCTGCGATTCTTCCTAGAGAGTAGAATTGTGACACAATGGAAGGAGTTTGGGCAAATTAACTGTAGCACATGATAATTTAAACACTAGAACTGTAGAAGACACAGGTGCTCCGATGGCATCGATCAGTAGGTATTTATGACACTTTGTGAAGCAAAGAGACAAGCATGAGCGGAATGTCAGAGTCATTTAAGTTTGTGGACGTGTGAGGTGACAAGTTCCAGGCAAAGGGGAACAGCGTACACAGTCTTGAAGCAGGAAAGATCATGGTATAAATTAAAAATTAAAGACTCCCAAGGGAGGGATATAATGTGATTTGTCTGAAGAAATGAAAACGCTTGGACCACACAGGTCTTTAGGTTTTGTTAAGGAGTTTAAAGTTGGTCCTAAAAGCACAAGAGAGCCATTGAAGGATTTTAGTTGCAAGGTTTTATTTTCATCTGAGATGGTAGGTCTGGCTACAGAATAAAAATCAGATTGTACAGAGACAACAGGAGAGCAAGAGAGAGGCTACGGAGGAGGTGCAGTTTTTACACTAAGAGTGTAGCGATGAGAGGGTGGAGCTAGGAACTGAGGAAAACAAGCCCATGGCTTGAAGATCAACTGGACAGGACTGGCACCAAAGGTAAATGAGACAAGAGTGACTTCCACGTTCTGGGCATCTGGGTGGATGATGATAACCATACTGAATGTGGAATCTTCAGAAATGGTCTCAACTTCTGAAAACTACAGAATTTAGGTATTTGGACCATCACATAGTTAGCATATTTTATTTCTCTTTTTTTATTAAAAATAATTAAAATATAATCACATCACCTCTCCTCTTTTCTTTCTCCCCCCAACCCCTCTCACTCCCTCTGAAATCCATAGCCTCATTTTCTTTATTAGTCTTACATCTGTGTATGAATGCATAAATATATAAATACAATCTGCTGGGTCTCTTTAGTGATGCTTCTGTGTGCATCCCTTCATGACTGCCCACTTGGAAATGGATAATCAATTGGGGGCTCATCTGTGGGCAAGATTGAGTTTCCCTCTTTCAGTAATGTAATGCTGTCTGCAGTTCTTTGTCTGGAGATGGGGCCCCATGAAGTTTCTCCTTTCCGTGTTAGCATGTCGTTTCTAGGAGACACAATCTCACAACAGATCTCCTGGTCCTCTGGCTCTTACAATCCTTCTTTCCCTCTTCCGTGAGGTCTTAAGTACTGCAGTTGTGTTGTTGATGTCTCCATTGGAGCTAAATACCACATGATCAGGTGTTCTCTGCATGTTGACCAGTTCTGGTTTTCCATAATCGTCCCTGTCTGCTGGAAGGGAAGCTTCTTTGATGAAGGATGAGAGCTACATTTTGTGGGTGTAAGAATACGTTTTAGAATGCAGTTAGGAATTATGCCGGTCTTGAAAAGTGGTAAGAGTAGGTTTTCCTCTAAGATCCATGATCTCACTAGACCCGGGTATCATATATATATATGCCAAAACATTATTGCTGCTAATTCAGGTTGCCTCCTTAAGGTTGAAGGCAAGTCCCTATTGCTGAGGACATCACATTCTTCAGACACAGGACTTGGAAGACTAGATCTCTATATAACCTAAAAGCCTCATCTCTGACATTTAGCTTTCACTTATCAGAAGATGCTATGCAAGTTGCCAGTGGAGGGAAGAAATCAATAGTCTCTCCCAACTGTGATGTCTATGAACTACAAACGTGATCAGCAGGACAAGATATCTCTGAAAGTGCAGGAGTGGCTCTTGTATCTTAGTTGCAGCCAACAGCTTTCTAATTGTACTCAAAGCCCAATCCACAGGAGAGAAATCACGCCTGGTACTGGAAACTTAGCCAACATATTTTTCTTTTACTTTTAAAAATTGATTTAATTAGATAAAATCTAAATATTATAACTTCCATTAATGTTAAGTATATGATTTTAGTAAGTCTTGAATAATGTCTATAATCATTTAACCATCGTCAGTACCATGACATAAAGCATTTGCATTACCCAATCACTTACCCCCCTTTGCCATCTATGACCATTGATTCCCTCATCAACCATATTTGAGGATTTTTTTCTTTTTTGTCTTTTATAGATTTTCATATAACCTTCACTTAGAATCTGCTCTTGAGAACCACCTGTGTTATTGAATGAACAGTAGTTTACATTCCTTCATGCTGAATAATTTTCCACTACAAGGATTTACAGAAGTCTACTTATCTGCTTTACCAGTTGATGTACAATGTCACTTCTGGTTTTATCTACATGAATAAAAGTAGCATGATTACTCAAGGACACATCATTTTTTTTTACATGTACACTTATTAACTTTTCTCAGATAAGTATCTAGGAACTTATAGAGTAAGATACCCTTACTCTACTTTGGGCTTATGGTTTTATCCTTCTTTTACATATAAAGCATATCTATTATACTCCTTTAATGCTTTTGTTGGCTCGTGTTATTTCTATTGTGTCTGCATCTGTTTTTTACTAATCGACTTTCTTTCTTTTTGTTATTAGGCCATAGCTTTCAATTTTTTGCTTGCATAGAACTTTTTACTGGATGCCAGAGAATGAAATTTTTTGCATTGTTGCTATTTAAAAAAATCATTATTCCTTTAAACACGACTAACTTGTTCTAGTAGACAGTTAAGTTACTTGGAAACAGATGGATCACATTGGGACTTTTAAGGCATTGCTAAAATGGTCACGTCAACCTTAAGGACAAGGCTAACTTAGTCCAATTGCCAAGCAGATGCTTTTCTACACATACTTTCTAATAATCTGTGTAGTTTGAAGCCACTCAACTCTAGTTGAGGTCCACACACTGCCTCAGAGTGCTGTAAGCTCCGAGGTTTCCTGCATTTTCTGGCTCTCTTATCCCAGCCAATGGGCAGTTACTTCAGATACTTGTACAAATCAGGGAACAGATAGCTTCCAGAATTCCAAGCTCTGATATTTCTAGGATCTACTCACAGAATCCATGATATTCTTCCCATACAGGATGCAACTCAATTCTTTTACCTAATGTGTTGGACTTAATAAATCATGTCTGACAGACTATGGGAAAAAATGATGATCATTTCTATTACTAGATTATTTAAGTGCTGGGCCCCTATCTTGAGTGTACTCTTGTTTTCTCTTGAATAACACCTCTGTGGGGAACAAACACCTTCTGGATTAGTCTCCTTCAATTACTATGACCCATGTCTCTGACCTATTGCCTTCTTATCAGAAAATCTAACCAGAAGCATCCAAATAGGTCCTTAAAAAGACAATGTGAAATACAAGCCTATGCTTTTTAAAATGTATGCGGTTCTGGCTTAATTTACTAGGTAGCGAAAGACAATGAGTATCTTTAAAAGTTCTGATACATTACAAGCAAGCACATTGCTGTAAAAGAAAGGTAAATTCTGAGAATGCCTTTCTAATTGGGAATTGGGCATTGTAAAGAGTATCAATGAGAGTTTAAAGTGCCACAAATAAGCCGTTAAGCTTTATTTTTTAAATGTTTACATTTAGCAGTTTGCTAATATAATACTAATATCTTCTTTGTCCTTTGTGTCCAGGATTTTTGTTCATTTGTATACGTGTTGCAAGCATTGTTTACCTGTGTGTGTGTGTGTGTGTGTGTGTGTGTGTGTGTGTGTGTGTTAAGCACTATGTTATGTATTCATGCACACACCTAAAAAACAAAAAACAAAAAACAAAAAACAAAAAAAAAAAAAAAACAGAAGATGCCAGATATCTTCATCTATTTCTGTCTGCCTTATTGCTTTGAGACAATAAGAAACTCACCATTGTGGCCAGGCTGCCTGGCAAGCAAGCTTCAAGGATTTGCAATGCTTGGGTTACAGGTATGTAACATAACTATGCCATTTTTTTTTTAAACACGGGTGCTGGCTGAAATACAAATTCATATCCTCATGCTTGCACACTAAATGTTTATATCTGTTAAGGCATATCCCAGCCCCGTTATCTAGATTCGACCAACGATAAATCTTTTGTAGACACAGTTTAGTATCAAACCGAGAAACTGACGTGACATGGCCCTATTAAATAAACTACAGACCCCTATCTGGTTTACATCAGAGAGAGAGAGA